CCTAGCATCCTTTCCTCATACCTAGCATCTTCTCCTCCTACCTAGCATCCTTTCCTCATACCTAGCATCTTCTCCTCCTACCTAGCATCCTTTCCTCCTACCTATACAGGGAGGCTCATTAACGGAAGAGTAAGGGAACCAAAAAACAGCAACAAATGTCTCTGTTTCTGTCATCAATCTGGATTTTTCAAGAGAATCTGAGTTAATGTAATACCAAAAACGGCCTTTTGATTCTATCAAATGTCTGATTGGACAAAAAGCTGGCTCATCCCTTTAGTTTAGAATGTATAGATCCGTAGAAATTGAACACAAAGAAGTGAGGTGTGGTGAATACAGTGAATTTAAAGCTGATTCTTAACCGAAATCACAGCTAAAAACAGGGATTCTATCAGCAATCTGGATTTTTCAAGAGAATGTGAGTTAATATGATACCAAAAAACACCCTTTTGATTCTATTAAATATCTCCAGGAAAAAGGAAAACAGGATACAGGGAGGCTCATTAACGGAGGAGTCAGGGAGCCAAAAAACAACAAAAAATGTCTCTGTTTCTGTCATCAATCGGGATTTTTCAGGCAATATGATACCAAAAACATCCTTTTGATTCAATGAAATATGTCCAGGAAAAAGGAAAACAGTGTTTTTGTCCCATCTAAAAACACAGGGATGGATCCCCAGACTCTGTCCCAGCCCAGCTAGCATCCTCTCCTCATACCTAGCATCCTTTCCTCCTACCTAGGGTCCTTTCCTCATACCTAGCATCCTTTCCTCCTACCTAGGGTCCTTTCCTCCTACCTAGCATCTTTTCCTCCAACCTAGCATCCTTTTGTACTACCCAGCATTCTTTCCTCCTACCTACCATCCCTTTTCCTCCAACCTAGCATCCTTTCCTCCTACCTAGCATAATTTCCTCCTACCTAGCATTTTCTCCTCATACCTAGCATCTTCTCCTGTTACGTAGCCTCTTCTCCTCCTACCTAGCTTCATTTCCTCCTACCTAGCATCCTCTCCTCCTTCCTAGCATCCTTTCCTCCTACCTAGTTTCCTTTCCTCCAACCTATCATCCTTTTGTACTACCTGGCATCCTTTCCTCATAACTAGCATCCTTTTTCCTCCTACCTAGCATCTTCTGCTCCTACCTAGCCTCCTCTCCTCCTACCTAGCATCCTCTCCTCCTACCTAGCCTCCTTTCCTCCTACCTAGCATCCTCTCCTCCTACCTAGCCTCCTCTCCTCCTACCTAGCCTCCTCTCCTCCTACCTATCATCCTTTCTTCCTACCTAGCATCTTCTCCTCCTACTTAGCATCCTTTCCTCCTACCTAGCATCTTCTCCTCCAACATAGCGCCCTCTCCTCCTACCTAGCATCCTTTCGTACTACCTAGCATCATTTCCTCCTACCTAGCATCCTCTCCTCATTCCTAGCATCCTTTCCTCCTACCTAGCATCCTCTCCTCCTTCCTAGCATCCTTTCCTCCTACCTAGTTTCCTTTCCTCCAACTTATCTTTCTTTTGTACTACCTGGCATCCTTTCCTCATAACTAGCATCCTTTTTCCTCCTACCTAGAACCCTTTCCTCCTACCTAGCATCTTCTCCTCCTACCTAGCCTCCTCTCCTCCTACCTAGCATCCTTTCCTCCTACCTAGCATCTTCTCCTCCTTCCTATCATCCTCTCCTCCTACCTAGCATCCTTTCCTTCTTCCTAGCCTCCTCTCCTACTACCTAGCATCCTTTCCTTCTTCCTAGCCTCCTCTCCTCCTACCTAGCCTCCTCTCCTCCTACCTAGCCTCCTCTCCTCCTACCTAGCCTCCTTTTCTCCTACCTAACATCCTCTCCTCCTACCTCCTACCTAGCATAATTTCCTCCTACCTAGCATATTTTCCTCCTACCTAGCCTCTCCTCCACCTAGCATCCTTTTCTTCCTACTTAGCATCCTTTCCTCCTACCTAGCATCTTCTCCTGTTACTTAGCCTCCTCTCCTCCTACCTAGCATAATCTTTCCTCCTACCTAGCATCCTCTCCTCCTACCTAGCATCCTTTCCTCCTACCTAACATCTTTTCCTCCTACCTAGCATCTTCTCCTCCTACCTAGCATCTTTTCCTCCTACCTAGAACCCTTTCCTCCTACCTAACATCTTCTCCTCCTACCTAGCATCTTTTCCTCCTACCTAGAACCCTTTCATCCTACCTAGCCTCCTCTCCTCCTACCTAGCCTCCTCTCCTCCTACCTATCATCCTCTCCTCCTACCTAGCATAATTTCTTCATCCCTAGCCTCCTCTCCTCTTACCTAGCATATTCTCCTCCTACCTAGCCTCCTCTCCTTCTACCTAGCATCCTTTCCTCCTACCTAGCCTCCTCTCCTCCTACCTAGCCTCCTCTCCTTCTACCTAGCATCCTTTCCTCCTACCTAGCATCTTCTCCTCCTACCTAGCATCTTCTCCTCCTTCCTATCATCCTCTCCTCCTAACTAGCATCCTCTCCTCCTACATCCTACCTAGGATCCTCTCCTCCTACCTCCTACCTAGCCTCCTCTCCTCCTTCCTAGCATCCTCTCCTCCTACCTAGCCTCCTCTCCTCCTACCTAGCATCCTCAGCCTGCCGATCTTGTCCATCAGCAGGGCGGAGACGATGTTGCCGGGCAACACGGCGAGCGTCCCCAGGAAGCTGACGAAGTAGACCATGTAGGCGTTGTTCTCGTCGCTGATGTCGCTGAGCAGGCAGCCCTCCTTGTTGTGGAAGAAGGTGCTGTTGATCAGCTTACAGTTGACGAGCCGGTACTTGAAAAGATCTGAGAGGAGGAGGAAGGAAAGGGAATGGTGAGAGGACTTCCAAAGAACCAGGATTAAAGTCGTTAAAGTCATTTTTTGGACATAACTTACGGGCAAACAAACAACAAACAAAACAACAACCACGGTAAAAAAACAAAACAAAAAAAACAGACAAATAACCACAGCAAAAAATAAATAAATAGAATTGAATACAGATAAAACATACAATTAACTATACTGACAAAAAAAAAAACCTTGATCGTGGATCACATAATATTTATAAATTACATGGGCATATCTACCTTTCAATAGTTTTTTCACTTTTAACCCATTGTTAGAATTTGGCTAAAATTACTCACCTTAGCATAGTATGCTATCACATGATCTATGCGAATTCCTGATTGTTATATTTTCTTTTATAACTATATTTTGTGTTAAAGTCTCTGGCTGTGTCCACAGACTCTCTTTTCTCTCTTTTTCTCTCTCTGTTGCATTAGATCCACCTTTAGGTCAACACACACACACACCACATCAGTCCAGTTCAGAACCAGGAAATATAGAAATAAAATAAAACTGAATTGAATTGAACACTGACGCTTGTCCTGCATATTTTCGGGGAAATTTAGTCCCATGAGGATGTTTTTCAGCGCGGAAATCTGCGTGGCCAACGGACTCCCCTCCACTAAACTGTGAGAACGGCCCTTTATTAGTGACTGCTGCACAGCCCTGTTAAAAGTCAGCTTCACCGCGGTATCTATGGCTGTGTTGTTAGAGGCAGCTGAACCATAATGAGCAAACACGTTTTCAATTTCCCCCGTAATGAGGTGCCTGACAGGCTCCGATACGCCGAACAATAGAGCCGTCTGAGGCTCTTTCTGTGTGTGAAAAGCACCGAGCGTTTCATCTGGGTGGTGAAAAACGGCCCCGGGAGACACAGGTTCTGCACATTACTGCTGACATGTGGGGCGTTCAATGAAAAGGGACATAAAGTCGACACAGAAAGCGGTCGTTAGCACGTTAGCATCAGGGGGAAACTGCAGGAAAACGCTGGAAATGTCCCCTAAGAGACATATTTACAGAGAGATATTTACAGTTCTATACATATGTTAACCCCGATTCTTTAGTTGGAAACCTGAGAATAAACCAGAGTGGATCAAAAGTATAAAAATAACATTTATTAGGTCATAGTTAAGTGTATCAGCTGGGCTCTGACAGACAAAAACCTCTCTCTGGGCATGAACAGGCCAGGTCCTAATTCATGCAGATGACAGGAATGTGGTAAAAAACGGTGTGTGTGTGTGTGTGTTATCCACACCTAAAGGTGTGGATCTAATGCAACAGAGAGAGAAAAAGAGAGAAAAGAGAGTCTGTGGGCACAAACAGAGACTTTAACACAAAATGTAAAACAATCAGTAATTAGCATAGATCATGTGATAGCATACTATGCTAAAGCGAGTAATTATAGCCAAATTCTAACAATAATAAAGAGAAAATTGAGGTAAAAAAAGGTAAAGATGGGACAGTGAAAGCTAAAAATGCAACTAAACTTTAGTTTTCTGTACTTATTTTAATAACTTTTCAAATTCACGCCTGCGAGATAAAGAAGAGGGTTAAATTGAGCTCCCTCGGTCTCTAAAATCTCTTCCTGACCTTTTGTAAAGTGGATCATCAGCAGGACAGAGCCTGGCAGGCTCTAACTGCTTCCTACCCGTGTTGTAGAAGACGGTGGCGATGAAGGTGCAGTTCTTGAAGAAGGTGTTGGTGGAGGTGATGTCCTCGAAATAACAGTCCTCAAACAGCGAGTCCTCGAACACCATCGATCTCATTTTCAGGTTCATAAACCTGTCGAGGGGAGGAATGGCGGAGGAGGGGGGTTGGAAGACGGGGAGAGGTGAGAAAATGTTTTTAAAAAGCCAGCTCTGTCTCAGGGGTGGCGAATATTACCATATCCTATCAAAGAAAGGCTTGTTAAACAGCCCAGGATCAAAGAAATGTCACAGCTCAACTTCCTGAAGCCTCATTTATTAATTATTTTCCCCTTTGAGAGCAAATTGAAGCTATTTGGAGAGAAGGCGTGTGGTTTGACTCTGACTCATTTTGCTCTGATTTGCTTTGAAAAGCTAAAGCTTAGAAATGCTAAAAGCT